CAGCACAGCACAGCACAGCACAGGGGGGTTAATACCCCTGCAGCACAGCACAGCACAGCACAGCACATCACAGCACAGGGGGGTTAATACCCCTGCAGCACAGCACAGCACAGGGGGGTTAATACCCCTGTGGTTATCAACAGACGTTGCACAACAGCAGCAGGGCTCATACACAGCAAGGTTAGAAGAACAGAGTCACCCACAGATAGCTTATAATGTATACTGTGCACACATAATAAATACGCTCGCTGCCATGAGGGAATCAAGGCGTCTCACCTGTGTGACGTCAGCACCACAGAGCGTCCCGTTTTGATGATGTCAAGAATGAGGTTCCACAGGAACCGGCGGGCCTTGGGGTCCATGCCAGTAGTGGGCTCATCCTGAGAGAGGAAGTCGACTGGGCAGTTAAAGATGCCCCCACACCCCCCCCTCACAAACACCCTCCTTACACCCAGCCCACCCCCTCCCAGGCAGACCCCCGCTCACCAGGAAGATGAGGGAGGGGTATCCGATGAGCGCGATGGCGGTGGACAGCTTGCGTTTGTTGCCCCCGCTGTAGGTGCCGGCCGGCTTGTCCGCGTACTTCGCCAGCTCCAGTTTCTCCAGGGCCCACTGTACCACCTGGGGAGAGGGCAGGGTCAGCTGGGGGGGGGGCCGCGCCGCGCGTGCCGGCGCCCACCCCGGGGGCGCCCTCGCTCACCCTCTCCTCGTCCTTCCAGGGGATCCCCCGCAGGCGGGTGTACAGCTCCAGGTGCTCCCGGGCTGTCAGGTCCTCGAACAGGGCGTCGAACTGGGGGCAGTAGCCGAGACTCTGCTGGACCCTCAGCAGGTCCCTCAGGATACTGCAGGGAGGGAGAGACGGCGTGAAGCACAGCGCCCGGCCCTCACCCGCATGTCGGGGACCCCCACCACCCCCCCCGCCCCCGGTCACCTGCGCCCCCCGATGAAGGCCTCGCCCCCCGTGGTGGTCTCGTCGCCGGTCAGCATCTTGAAGGTGGTGGTCTTCCCGGCGCCGTTCACCCCCAGCAGCCCGAAACACTCGCCGGGCTGCACCCCCAGGCACAGCCGGTCCACCGCCAGGATGCGCCCCATCTTCCG